TACTTTGGTTTCTGAAAACGGAATGGGAAAAACGCTATCAATCTTTGGTCGTATTCACCACTGACAATATTTGTATTTTTGAATGAGTCTCAAATTGGTATTAATTATAAAGTGAAAAATACCTAAAATGCAGCTAAAAAGCTGATCAAACAGATGAATCTGCTGCACTTCCGCTAGCGCTAGTCTGCTCGTTTATTCTATATAAGCAAATTCATAACATGACTTCACCAAAACAGTAACGCATGCATTTCTTCAACTTCTCCTATGGTCATCTACTTTCTCTTTTTTTTTTTTTTTTGTAATGATAACGTAAGCTAAAAAAAGCCTAAGTTGCCTTGCGTAGCTGCTAAAATTGATTTTAATTGTTTTTGAAAGTTTGTAAAAGATTTTTTTTTGATAGGCATAAAGTTTTGTTGTTAATCTTGCATGTAATATATTACTCTTTTCTAGGGTTACTTCAAGCTATATTAATTTATTCAACTGTTCAAATCTTTTACACTTGACTTAAATTTAGTTAGTAACTTTTCAGTTATTCTCTTGATATTCAATTCGTTTTCTATCGTTATAAATTATTATTCTTAATAGTGATTATTTTTCTTTATTATCCAAAAAATTTTTGAATACAGTATACAAAAGTTTTTTGGTTTTTTTCAAATTCATATAACACGGTAACTCATTTAAAAAATTTATCTATTGTGAAAAAAGCTATGAACTTTAAACACTATTTTAGAAAAATATGCTTGCTCTGGTAATCTTTTTCACGCAATTGCAAGCTGCCTGGACACAGTGCCCAAATGGAGGCAGAGCAGTAGCACAAGGTTGCTCAAATGCACTTCAATGTGTTCAGTACACTACAGAACCAGTTGCATGCTTGAGTGGTTTTTGCTGTACTACCACAAGCAATGCTACATCTACTTGCCCGAACAACGGAAAGCTGGTTGCTAAAGGTTGCACCAGCGCTTCACAATGCCTTCCCTACACAACGGAACAAGTAACATGTCTCAATGGACTCTGCTGTACGGTTAACGCTAACAGCTGTAGTAACGGAGGTACTTTAGTGGCCAAGGGTTGCACCAATGCAGCTCAATGTACTGCATACACTAAAGAAAAGGTGACATGCTTGAATGGCAACTGTTGCACAGTTTCTACTAAGCCAACCTGCAACAACGGTGGACAACTGGTAGCTATGGGGTGCAGTAATGCGGCTCAGTGTACTGTATATACTAAAGAAAAGGTTACTTGCTTGGACTCTCTATGCTGTACGGTTCCATCTCAACCAGTCTGTGCCAACGGTGGAAAAGCTGTTGCACAAGGATGTACAGCATCTACTCAGTGCCTTCAATACACAAAGGAAAAAGTTGCTTGTATAAATGGTCTTTGCTGCACGGTAACTTTTTGATCACATCAAAACCTTTTTCTCATCGTTGTAATAAAAAACCTTTTGCTAAAGTAGACTTTGTTGTGGTAGATTCTTTTTATTTATTATCAGCAAGTTCTATTTATCATTCTAAATTTACAATTTTCACTCCTTGTATCTCATACACTAAAAACAAATAGTTTAATATTGAGCTGTTATCAACGATCGATCCACGATTTCCTCATATAACGTGTATTTTTTAGGTTCCACAAACTTGCAGTAATGGAGGTAACGTGTTAGCTTTGTATTGTTCCAACTCTCTCCAATGTGTTCAATACTCATGCGGCGCTCCAGTAACCTGTTTGAATGGAATGTGTTGTACCGTTTAAACGGGAAATTTAACAATTAATTAATAACGATTTGAAGATCTTGTCTAAAATCAGGGTTTTATGCTGGTATAAAAAAACTTAATGCAAATAAACTTTTTTACCTACATAACTGCCTACAAAAATACCGCATTTATAACTTTACTTTGAAACTAATTTTAGTGGATTTGTACTTGTGGCACTCACAAGCTTGACGAAATAAAGGCTTTTCAAATTGAAATGTTTCGATTAGTCAAAAAAAAATGTCAGTTTCACGCTGTCAAACAGTTCTTCTTTTTAATAGCTTTAATAAGCTCGGTTTGCAAAAAAAATTTGGAAGCTGTTTCCGCAAAAAAATGCTCTAAAGGGTGCTGCTTGTTCAGACACTCCAAACAGAGACACAATAACGTATTTCAAAAGTGTCAGCATAAAAATTCAACTGTGATTTGGTGTAAATAGATCAGAAAACAGCTAGCCACAAACAACAAAAATTTGATAAGCTTTTCAAAAACACCTCAACGTTCTTTTTTTTGGAACTCTATTTATTCTTGAAAATTTCATCTTGCTTTTTTTCTAATTTATTTTTTCTGAAGATGAGTTTAAATCATTGTTTTTTCAAACTTTTAATAGAATGAGTGTCTCACTAAAATTTTTTAGTACTTTTAAAGAGAAGTTAATATATCAAATCTCCACTTTTCAAGTTTTTGGCATTTTAAACTTTTTGTTTTTGAATTGCAATTTTCGGAATAATGCGCAGTTGTTATAGTCAACAAAACAAAGTATTTTACATATAATAGTAGAGAACTAATGTTACCGCTGTTACATCGCTAAGTACATGAGCTTTAAAATGCATTTGACGTCACTTTTCTGATGATATCTGCCGAAAAATGTATTTTAATTTGAAAAGCGAGAAAAAGCGCTAAATGCTCTGAAGTAATTTAAAATAGTGAAAAAACTTTTAGAAACTGATCACTGTCAATTGCACAATTACAAATCCAATCTGTTTGGAAATGACCCTTCGGCGATATTGGGTATTCATCAAAAAGACTTTACTTAATGATTATTTGCATAGTTTGCTAATACCAAGTCGAATTAAATTATTTTATACTATAATAATTTCGGTTTTCTAATCTGTTAAATTGATATTTCTTCTGTCTATTAGTATTTCTTAAGACTTAGGACAACGAATAAAGTGGGTTGTTCTGTTCACGTAGTACTTAAAGACGTTAACATTACAAAATGTGTGGTTCAAAACTGGCAACAACCAACAAAATTTTTGCATGTCTATCGAGAGTGTTACTGAGTTTTTGGCACTAAAATAAAACCAGATTTTAAACTTGCTTTGTACTTAAAACTAGCGACAGTTAGATACATGCATTTTTACTGCAGTTAGCAGAAGTGTGAATTTTGATGCAGTAAGATAAAAAAAAATGTGGATAACTAGCAAATTTAAAGTTTTTTAGAGAAGGGCTAATCTTACATACGATTTGGTCATCGACTAGTATCTAGTCGAGATGCAAAAAGCAGCTAGTCGTTAAATTTTTTGTTACAGTAAAGACGATACAGCTTTTCCGATGAACTACTTTGCACAACTTAGAAAAAATGTTTCAGAGTTAGAGTCTCTTGATAGGTTCAGCTAATTAATTTAAGAAATTGTGTGCTTAGGAAAGTATGACAAACACCAAGCATTGAGCGCGCATTTGGTCGTTTTGAAGTGATAAAGTCAAGTTGCAGTAGGTGAAGAATGTTTGTAATTTTTCGTTTTCTTTTTGGACGACAGAAAAACCTGACTTTTGTTAAGTCGTTTTTGCCTCTGTTATTTTTATGTGATTTATCCACTTATACTTCTCAAAGGCAAATTGAAGTTACTTGCTTCCAAAAACCAATAAGCTTTCATTATCTCACGTTGTCAGTTCATATACAAGACTTGTTGGCATTTCATATTACACCATTTTTTGTATAACAGATGTATTTTTTAGAAATAGCTTCGAAAATAATTGAATATTCGTATGATAATCTTTACTAGATATTTGAAGAAGCTTTAAAAGACTAGATTCACAACAGTAACCAAATGCTAAAAATATTTAAATTTCTGCCGTTAAACGGAGAACTTTTAATATAGTTAGTAAAGACTTATATTAGCTATAATTACTCTTCTTTAATATTTCTGACCAGGTTAATAGATAACAAGAAACAGTATTTTCGGTTCTGGAAACATCTGATACGTGGCAAACCATGTTGACAACCTAATAACACAGAAATTTGTTTGAACAATTAATTTACATAAGAATCAAATGCGGTAAAAAACTTGAAAAAATTTTTTTTCGTTTTTTGATGCTTATTGATGCGAAAATAATCATAATGATGAGTAATTTCTATTCCTGTGACAACAGTAATTTACAATAATTGGGCAGCAGATGATTGCTGCAATGAAAATCAATGAGAAATAAAATGTTTGTGTTAACGAACATTCTAAAATATTTTATCTGGAGTTCACAAGTACAAAAACAGTACATGCAGATTTTTTGTTCGTAAAAGGTTGCATACCACATAAACTCTAAAATTTCAGCAAAAAAGCAGCATTAAACGTGTGATAAACTGTGGAAATAATTAGTCATAGTTTACAGACTTTTTTTTTGAAAAAAATGTAAAAGCTACACATTCTATTTTGAATAAAGTTTAAGCAATAGCGACTGGATAAATAATTTTAATAAATTGATATTTGGTGTTTCAACGTTTGAAAACAGTCTATTAAATTAAGTATTCTTTGCCAAATAATGTAAGCGTTTATAAGCATGTGAAATTTTTGAACTAGCAGAGCTTTGCTGTTACATCCATCTAGTTCCTACATTCAGCCTCTGATTTATTGCAGATAAACAGATTATCAAATGAGTACTCTTGATCTTTTAAATTTTGATTTAATTTGCTCTTTATTTCTGTAATTGATAAAAACAAATATCAAAAATGTAATGAACTACTTCCCAAAGTTTTCTTCAAAAGACATATTTAACTTAGTAGAGTTCTGTAAAATACAAGAAGCATCTTTCCGTTGTCATAAATCAAAAAAATTATAACTTATAAAACATTACACTTTGTTTTTCCGGCTTATCATTAAAACGTTTTATGGTGCATTATTTGCATGTGAATGCCGCAATAAAAGACTTAATTATCTAAAAAAGCACTTTTTAATTTATTACGTGAAAATCACTGTTACACGACACCAACTGCGAATCTTAACTTAAAAAAAAATACATTTGTAAGCGAAGTAATTTTTTTACTGCAAATTTTTGTGACTCAAAAACGTGATATTGGTGCGCGCTTTTATCTCCGTCAACTGCTGGATCCACCAAAGCTATAAGTACTAAATTCTAACTTTTTGTAGACCGACTTCATTGAAGATGATGCTGCAGCAGCTAGCCATCATTATCCTAACATACATAACAACAATATCAGGACAGTCCTGCCCTAACGGAGGAAAACTTGTAGCAATTGGTTGCAGCAGTGCATCACAGTGCGCGCCATACACCACTGAAACTGTCAACTGCCTTAACGGGCTGTGTTGCACATCAACTTCCAGCAGTCGACCTGTTTCATGCAGTAACGGAGGCACTGCGGTAGCAGTTGGCTGCACGTCAGCTTCACAATGTGCTACCTACACATCACAACCTGTCGCTTGTCTAAGTGGCGTTTGCTGTACGACTTCTTCATCCTCAGGTACATTGTAAAGTAACTGCAAATCAGTATTGACAGAGGATCGCAGTTGATTTTCACAGTATACAGCCTAAACACTTGAAACTGTTGCCAATTACTATTTTATTTGCTGTAAGGATTCCTCACCTTCAGGTACACAGTGCAGTAATGGTGGTCAGGCTGTGGCTACCGGCTGCACGTCAGCTTCACAATGTGCTCCCTACACATCTCAACCTGTTACTTGCTTAAATGGCGTTTGCTGTACCAACTCTTCGTCTTCAGGTACATTGTGAAGCAAAAGTGAACTATAATGATGATGGTTTTGGGGTGCTGCTTATCTCTACAGTGCGTAGCCAGTGCATCTCAACTGCTAACTGCTTCTACAGCATTCACTGTACAATCTACTCATCTTCAGGTGTACAGTGTAGCAATGGTGGCCAAGCGGTGGCTATCGGGTGTAGCACGACTTCACAATGTTCTCTCTACACATCCCAACCTGTCGCATGTCTAAGTGGTGTCTGCTGTACCACTTCATCGTCTTCAGGTACATAGAAAGACAAATGTAAACTAATAATGCCCTTGGAGTGCAGCTTATTTCTACACTGTACAGCCTACTCAACTCGAAAAATTGCCAATTTTATTGTATTTGCTGCACCAATTTTTTGTCTTCAGGTACACAGTGCAGTAATGGTGGTCAAGCGGTGGCTACCGGCTGCACGTCAGCTTCACAATGTGCTGCTTACACATCTCAACCTGTCGCCTGTTTAAATGGCGTTTGCTGTACGACTTCCTCATCCTCAGGTACATAGAAAGACAAATGTAAATCAATAATGCCCTTGGAGTGCAGCTTATTTCTACAGTGCACAGCTTACACATCTGGAAAAATTGCCATTTTTATTGTATTTGCTGCACCAATTTTTTGTCTTTAGGTACACAATGCAGTAATGGTGGTCAAGCGGTGGCTACCGGCTGCACGTCAGCTTCACAATGTGCTGCTTACACATCTCAACCTGTCGCCTGTTTGAATGGCGTTTGCTGTACAACTTTCTTATCCTCAGGTACATTGTAAAGTAACTGCAAATCAGTAATGAGATTGGGCCGCGGTTTACCTCTACATTGTACAACCTACACATCTCGAGACGTCAATTTTACTACATTTTCTGTACCAATGCTTCATCTTCACGTACACAATGCAGTAATGGTGGTCAAGCAGTGGCTACCGATTGCACTTCAGCTTCACAATGTGCTGCTTACACGTCTCAACCTGTTACTTGCTTAGGCGTCTGCTGTACCAATTCTTCGTTTTCAGGTACATTGTGAAGCAAAAGTAAACCAATGGCGAGCTTTAGTCGTCAGGTATTTGTACAATGCGTTATGTGAAAATATGAAACTGTGGTTCAGTCTAATGACAGTTGGTTCGCAGCATCTTTTTCATGATTTTTCTGGAGTAGGGTTGGCTGACGAATAAAAGGCACATTACAGCTTCGCATCGTTCCAGTAACAATTTTTCAAGAGCAAACGTTTAAAATGGGAATTTTCTGTTACGTGGTATACAGTAATGGTCTTCAGGGTGATGAATAATAATTGCTGCTTAGCTGCAGCTGCCTCTCTTTCAAAGTCGGCAGTATTTTATTTGTGGCGCATAAGAGGAGCTTGTAGCGCAGTTATTTCTTGGTCTTAAATATCAGTGAAGGTCATTGGTAATCAGAGACCGCAGTTTGACTTCAGAATTTCCTCAGTAATTTTCCACCTATGAGCTACTCTCTGTTGCATATTTTTTAAAGCCCAGAAGAACGGTGGAGTAATAAATATTTAATGATAAGGTGAGGTAGACAACTTGGCTTGAAAAAGCAATGCTTGCACATCTCAACCTGATTTTTTCACTACAAATTTTTTTATCTTTATTTAGTTATGCAGTAGGAGTGGTAGGGTGGTAAAGACCAATAGTAACTCAAGATTAAAATGCTCTGCTTACACGCCTTGCCTTATTAGTTGTGATTTAGGTTGCATCAGCGGGTTCGAGTCATTCCACTTCAAACCACTTACTTTTTACAGTTGAAAACTGAGGTTTTTTTGAATTTTGAGTTGAAGGTTAAGTTCGGTCTAGGATTTAGAAAACAATTTTAAAAAGTGAATTTTTTGCCAAATCTCACTTCGCACGTCTGCATATTCCTTTTTTTTTTCGCTTAGCCACGTGTTCTTCAGGCTTCTTAAACTTTCTGTCTGTGCAGGAATTTAGTTAGCTGTACATTCAGACAAAACTCTTTTTCCAGACCAGAAATCTTACAGTATAAGTTATTTTAAAAAAGCATATTCTTTAATTTTTTAAACAGGTTTGAATTGTAAAAAGCATTTTTTTTTTGGCGATAACTAAAGTGTGTTCTCAAGCAGTTTTTATAATTTGATATTTACGCTCTTCAAAGTGAAACGAGAAGAATATTAATGGTTTAATTTTTTAAAATCTTGCTCTGAGATTATTCTGCAGTTTTCTTTTGTTGCTTTATCGACTGAATTCGGCTTCATTTCAAAGTTAGCTGATTTTTCGTGCAAAAAAAGAAAGTTGCTGATTAAGACTGGTGACCAGCTTAGGCAAAAAATAGAAAATTTTTGAACTTTAATACATTATAATTTAGTAAGAAGTCTAAAAAACCAGGTTTTTCTATTTGACCTTTGAAAACCGAAAATTACATACTACTTATCGCTAAGATTTGAAGTAATTCTGTAGCATCAGCTGGGAAAATTGCGTAGTTTGGCGTGGAGTGAATCGTCTGCAATGCTCTGTACAAACGCCATCTCGTTGCAATTTCAAATAAACTCGACTATGCTATCGTTTAGGTATTCAGTGTAGTAATGGTGGTCAGGCAGTGGCCAAAGGTTGTGTTACTTCCTCTCAGTGCTTACCCTACTCGACAGGAAACGTGGAGTGCTTATCCGGAGTTTGCTGTACGGTAGGATAACCCTGCTCTTTATATTAATTTTCGTTTGATCAGCTGAAAAACAACTGTTATCGTCTTTATCAGCAGAATACTTACCTTGAAGAAAAAAATAACGTTTTCAGACACGTAATTATACATTATTACTTTAGGTTAATGGGAATAATAGCCAAACTAAATGTGCTAATGGTGGTGTCGTTGTTGCCATAGGCTGCACATTGTCTTCACAATGTACTCCGTACGCTGCAGGAGCTGTGGTTACCTGCATTGACAATAAATGTTGCCGATTGTAGAGATTTAGAAAAAGGCAGTTTTGTTCTCAAAAGAAATTAGATCTTTTAATAGATGTTTTTTGAATTCTCAATAAATGCTCTATAATGTTTTCTCTTTTTTGTAATGTTGATTGCAGTTTATGTAGGAGGCAGTCCAACAAGTTATGCGTAATAATTCGTATATATTAATTATAAACATGTAGTATTTGCCATCGAGTCTCATCAGTGACAGAAACTAGCAGCTAATCTTTTATTTATTCTTATTTAAATCAATTACAAACAAACATATTTCACTTATAAAAATTATCGTAAGTCGGGGTTTAATTTAGAAATGTTTAGAAAAATTTATAAAAATTTATTTTTTCAATTTATATACATCTTTGGTTTTTTAAGCATTTGATTTAATTTTTTACCAAATTTAAAATTGTTACTTTAATACAATCTGACTTTTTATTGTTCTTGAGCTATTTTTTAGACGTTATTAATTCGTCAAGCGATTATCACAAAAATTTTATCTGTCATGACGAAGTTTTATTGTAACTGCAAGAAGTTAACTGAAAGATTGAATGTCGTCTTATAGTTTGGCGATTTTGAGATTGAAACAGGAGTATGGAACGCCATTGTCAACATTTAAGAATTTTGTATCAAATATGTAAGTAAAGTAACAAGTTTCTCGCATTTTCAAATTTATTTTGGGCACTAAAAACACCAGTTTTGTTAAAAAAATATCAACGTTTGTCAAATTTGCTTCTTAAAAGAAAAAACTCACTAATGCACCATAAAAATACAAATTTCCGAGAAACTTCCTTATGAGTAATTTTCTAATGCAAGCTTTCAAAAATATCTGTTTTTTTCTCGACATTTTGAAGCAGTGATATTGAAGAAGCGGTAAGTATAAGTACCACATGCTTCTGACAGCCAAAAAATTGTTAAGCTCAGGCACATCGTGAGTATATAAATTGACATCACAATTACAGTAAATTTAAGAAGACCTAGACAGCTTTTTGCGATATTCTTTTGAGGAGATTTGGAACAAAAAGTTTGGGAGTGCAAGACACCTAAAACGTCTGCTTTAGTACCCTTTTTTATGAAGCTTGTTGAACATGTAACCATTTTGATAGTTTCTTAAATAGCAGCTTATTGAGTCAAGAAATCTTACACTTTTCTGCAGAACATGTTTAAAACAACCAAATCTACCATATGGTCTTTCATTCTTATAGAAACAAGTTTGAAGTGACAAGGCACTAAAAGCAAAGAACGGTTATTGTTTAACCATTTTGAATAAAATTGAAGCGTGTCTTCCTCTAAATCTTTGTAGGTTCATTTTCGATCTGAAGCTTTAGCTCTTCTAATCGTTGTCAAAATGTAGAACGTGATCGATGATTCCTTAACAATGTCTATTGCATGGCAACAAGATAACGCAGCTTTAAAACTTTATTGTAATATGCTAAAAAAAATTACCTTAATTTACTGCTGCCTTAATTTTAAAAAGTTGATTAAATACAGCATTTGTAAAATATAAATGACTCATAGTGAATGTAATACGACAGAAGATTGCAGATGAATAAAGAAAAGACTTCTTGAGTGTAATGACATGTAGCATTTATCCAGTTTATTTGGTTTTCAGCAATTATTTT